TCACGATGACTAGGCAGCTCGAAAGAGAGGGGCGAGGTCAGCAGAGCTCATTAACATTTAAAGGGACATGCTACAAAAACGGGTTGCTCTGAAAAGAGCTGTTTTTGACAGGGTAAAAAAGGTGTTTTTTACACTACCATTGAGAAATTTTAACCAAACGATGTTACAGACTTTTCATTAAGACCCTAAAGAATCATATCAACTTGTGGAAAATGGGCATCCTGTGACCCCTTTAAAAAATTTGTTTAGTCAGTTAAAGTCAAACTATAAACTGTTCCCTTACTATACTTAAACCATGGTAACCACAAATTAACCACGGTCTTGCTACACTAACCATAGTTTAACCATGGTTTTTGTAGTAAGTCTGTGGTTATACAAATGGTAATCAATGCACCAAAAAAACATGGTTTGGCCGACTAAACATTTACTCTAATAAAACCATGGTTAGTTTTCACAAGGGTTAAAGTGCTACGCTATAAGCTACTAACTACACCGAAGCTATTTAAAATAAATATTGAAATTGTGATTGTGTCTTTGCCAAATATGTAATAATATGTGATATGTAATTATAAGAAAGTCGCTCTTTCAACATTAGCTTTACAGCTTGTCATGTAATAAAATATTTTATCAAAAGAGTACTTCATTTACATAATGTACTATAATTTATCAATGTACGCCGCTGAAATTTCGTAAGGGTACGGTTAGTGACTTATGCATGTTTTAATTTACCATTGTTTGGTTTATTTTCGCAGCTAAATTCAGCTCTTTCAATAGAAATCCAAGCCATAATTTCGCATCGAGACTATATTTTCAACATGCAGATTTCGCCCCGGGTTCACGTTGGTGATGCATATTGAGCAAAACCTTCCGTTATTATCGACAATAGACTAGTCTTATAAGTTAGTAATCTAATTTTTGTTCTTTAAGACTGGTTATATTTTTATTAGTGCTGTCAATTGATTAATCGCATCCAAAATAAAAGTTTTTGTTTACATAGTATAATAAATTATATGAATAAAAATATAGATATTAAATACATCTAAATATTTGAAAAATATATACTGTATGTGTATTTATATATACATAATAAATATACACAGCTTCAGTTACATAATTAGTCTTAGTTTAATTAAGTTGAATCCAAAAATAAGGCTGATTACCCTTTGCCTAACTGTTAGTTGGTGAAACTCGTACTTAAGACTATGTCTTAATCTAGAGCTTAAGTTTATGCAACTGGTCACAGATTTTCATTGGTCAACGTGGCAAATCTAAATGGGAACGTTATTGTTTTCATGCGGATTGCTTTTCAAATGTCTGGATTTCGCTCAAGCAACAGGAGATGTAAGAGTAAAAGCTTTAGAATGAGACATTTTCACAGTTTGCAGTTATACTTCATACCAATCAATAATATTTTCAGCTGTTTGAGTTATAGGCTCAGACATGAATGGATAGTTTAACTGACTGAAGGAGATGAATGATCTTGAACAACTGAATGAATGCTATAAATAGTAATTAAAAGTGCCGCATGTGACCCTGGAGCACAAAACCAGTCATAAGGGTCAATTTTATGAAATTGAGATTTATACATCATCTGAAAGATGAATAAATGAGCTTTCCATTGATGTATGGTTTGTTAGGATAGGACAATATTTGAAAATCTGGAATCTGAGGGTGCAAAAAAATCTAAATATTGAGAAAATCTTACTAATCAAACATTAAGTTTTGATATATTTACGGTAGGACATTTACAAAATATCTTCATGGAACATGATCTTTACTTAATATCCTAATGATTTTTGGCATAAAAGAAACATGTATAATTTTGAGCCATACAATGTATTGTTGGCTATTGCTACAAATATACCCCAGCGACTTAACACTGCTTTTGTGCTGCAGGCTCACATATTTTTTTAGGACGTGATGCTATAGCAATGCCATGCTTTTATGCACCACGGTACCATTTTCTTGAAAGATTTGATTTACTGATATATAAATATGGTAGTCATTCAGTTCCATGGTTTATTATCAGTTCTATTCAGTAGGAATGGATGAACGGATCATCAGAGTTTTAGGAGGGCATTTAGCATGTCTTTAGGCTTTAGACTGAAATGTGTTTTATTACTGCATGTCCTGTGAGGGAGATAATAATAATGATTCTCATTATTAGCATGCATTAAAAGTCTGGGGTCAGTAAGATTTTTTATTTTATTAAAAATTTTCACTCTGCAAAACAAAAAAAGTGTCAGCAAAAATGTATTACAGTCTTTTGTTATTGTTCAAAACAGTAAAGATATTTATAATATTAGATTTCTAGTTCAAATAAATGCTGTTCTTTTGAACTTTCTGATCATCAAAAATTCCTGGGGGAAAAAATAACTATCATCGTTTCCATAAAACATTTTAAAAAGCATAACTGTTTTCAACAGTAATAAGATATGAAGTCATATTTCTTGAGCAGAATGGGGGGAGCACACAAGGGAACATGAAAATGTATTATTAATTATATGCATACTTTTTAAATTGATTCTTTAATTTTGTGATTTATATGATTTAATCACCTATTTGAAACACATTATGCATTAAAACAAAAATATTTCCATCGCAGTATGGTGATGATGTTTAGGAGTGCAGTGACTTCACAGAAGCACTAAAAACCTGCAGTACTGGACTATATGTGTGGGACTGGCAACTTCTCCATCCATATTATTGTATCAAAAATATTTCGCGGAGTGGTGATGATGTTTAGGAGTGCAGTGACTTCACAGAAGCACTAAAAACCTGCAGTACTGGACTATATGTGTGGGACTGGCAACTTCTCCATCCATATTATTGTATCTTGTCCTCAGCCCCCTCCCTCCATCTCTCTGCTATATATAGTATAGGCTTCTGCATTGCAGCTGTCCCATAACCCAAAGCCTGCAGTCGAGATCTTGTGAGATCTTGTTTTAATTCCCAGGTGAAAACTGCTCAATCTCACATGCACACACACACTCACACACTCACACACACAACACAGACACACAACACACACTCACACACAACACAGACACACAACACACACACACACAAACAACACACACACACACACAGGTCAAAGCAACAATATTCACCTTGCTGCAGCTGTCTAGGACATTTAAAACCAAAGCTCTTGCATCTGTATAAATGTGTTTATGTTTGTGATGCTACGAAGACTTCCTTTAGATTCATTTGGTACCTAAAAGGTTAATGTGGACGAATTATATTAGGCTATAAATCAGTGCTTGTGCATCAGGCAGCTCCCTGAAACATGACTAGAGTCTGACCACATGTAAACATACTCAAGGTTTTACAGAAAGTCCACTTGGAGGATTTACTGTTAATGCATTTCATAGTGAAAAATGCTTCAAATAACATAAGTATACAGCACTGTATATTTAAACGTATCTGATTGGCCTGTGAAGTGCACACACACGAGTGGCTTTCATCAAAATGTATTTTCTTAATGCTTAAGCACGGCTTACGTGACATATTAGTGTCTTGTTTTTTCACACGGAAACAGGATACTTAAAAAGAAATAGCAATTCAATCGGACTCGAATATGTGGTGTTTAGCGCCACCCAATGTCCACACTTTCTGAAGACATTTTATTACCCATAACAAAAAAAGTGAAGAGTCTCTTATATTGGCCCAAACCGTGTTCCACATTACTGCGCGGGAGTCTTTTTAATAGAATTATCAAATTTATCAAAATCACCTGTTAAACACATAGAATATCAGGGTATAAATTATTACCAACATCTTGGTAACACTTTATTTTACGGTATCCTTGTTACACACGTTGCATGTTCTTACTATTATAACAATAAATCAGGCATAATTAGTTGCAAGTAACCCTAACCATATAGTAAGTACATGTAGTTAATTAATATCACTCAGTACTTAATTGTATAATTACACTGTAACAAGGACACCTTAAAATAAAGTGTAACCCACAGAAAACATGTACTGTTGAGCATCTGTTACTAATCACCACATGCAATTATAAACGCACACGGACCATGAATTTTAAAATATTATCTATTCAAATGTGTGGTTGATTGCATTAAATGAGCAATTTACATAGACCACAGATCTGTGAAATTACATATAAAACTGCGTCAAAAAGTACTCTCTTGTATTTAACAATAGCACTAATAGTCTAAAAACATTAGTTTCACACTTAAGTATATTATTAGGCTAGGCTCTAAACACATGAGATTTAAAAATATATATACACACGCATCAATACTTGTTATTTAGATATTTATATGCATGCTTAAATGTACTTTTTCACAATAAAAGTACTCATCACAAAATGTTTATATTATTTACATATACACCATATTCAAAAATCATTACTTTAAATACGTTTAACTCAACGCAGATTGCACAAACACAATCCTGGGCTGCATTTCCCAAAAGCATCGTAAGCCTAAACGGATCGCAGCTCGGATTTCAACGGGTCTACGATGTACTTAAGCTTACGATGCTTAGTTTTGGGAAACGCAGCTCTGGTTGACATGTTGGCCCACAAACATTGAAACATGAAAGACCGAGGCAGACAAAGGAAAATAAGAGCAGACAACATTATTTGTTTCATATAAAATGTTTTTATTATTTCAGTATAAAACAGCTCCATAGCTCTGGCCAATTCAACAAACAATCCACAGTCACAGCAGGAAAGATCAGACACTTCCTGTTCGTCTCGCTCTAAAACACCGGACATTTGGGTTGAAGGGGGCGGGGCTTATTTGCCATTCTAGTTTTGGCGATAGAACATTAACGCAAAACTCTAACAAATCACTTGTGGTTAGCTAGCTAGTATAACATTAATATTAACTTAAAAAAAAGAAAAAAAAAAAGAACGCATGAATGAATGAACGAGCCGATCTGGTCACATCCCAAACGCAAGTCCTTGAGTCCATGTCCACAGCGACCCCAGCGGGAACTACACAGTCTTCTGCTGGCCCTTCTTACCGATCAGGGACTTGTGGATGTGAGGAATCACACCTGCGAGAAGACGGCAAACACACCAGCGCTTCACATCCTCATCTGTCAACACGGCAGTGTGTTTGCATCCAGCACAAAGAAACTAAACTCCAACATACCTCCACCAGCGATGGTGGCCTTGATGAGGGAGTCCAACTCCTCGTCTCCACGAATGGCCAGCTGTAGATGGCGAGGGGTGATACGCTTCACCTTCAGATCTTTTGAAGCGTTTCCTGCCAACTCCAAAACCTACGGTCAAAGCAAAAATTATTCAGATACCATTTGATATTTTTTTACTAGTGGGTGCAGGACACTATACTTCATTTGTGACCATGCACCACAAAACCATACATCAATTAGCTTTCCATTGATGTAAGGTTTGTTAGGATAGGACAATATTTGAAAATCTGGAATCTGAGGGTGCAAAAAAAATCTAAATATTGAGAAAATCATCTTTAAAGTTGTCCAAATGAAGTTCTTAGCAATGCATATTACTAATCAAAAATTAAGTTTTGATATATTTACGGTAGGAAATGTACAAAATATATTAATGGAACATGATCTTTACTTAATATCCTAATGATTTTTGGCATAAAAGAAAAATTTATAATTTTGACCCATACAATGTATTGTTGGCTATTGCTACAAATATACCCCAGCGACTTAACACTGCTTTTGTGCTCCAGGCTCACATATGTGAGGATAGCAAAATAAAGTAAACTGTGACACACCCAAAAATTCTTCATACAGTGCACTACCAGTAAAATTTGGGACCAAAAATTAATCTGAGCATATTTTGCTTAAGTGTCTCTTTACACCACAGACTGAACAAAATTAAGTATTGCTTGGTAATCGGTATTATCTAATTGTGTACTTAAATTTAACAGCTGAATAGTTTTTGGTGGATTGTAATGCATTACATACCTTTCTATCAAAGTTATCTGACATCATCAAGATGAATGTGTTCTGACGCCGTTTAATTCTTAACATTTTATTACCATTTTCTAAACGATAGCGACTAAACTGCTATAATGTGAGAAATGAAGGTGTCTGAATACATTTTGGTTAGACTGTATAGCATCAGTAAATTAAAGACAATTAGTGGCGCGCTACAAACCAGCACTAACGAGCCTTACTTCAGCTGTGAGATACTCCAGGATGGCTGCGCTGTAGACGGCTGCTGTCGCTCCCACACGACCATGGCTTGTAGTGCGGGTCTTCAAGTGCCTGTGGATACGGCCCACTGGGAACTACAGATTTCAGATATGCATTCCCTTAGAAAGCAGCACCTGACATTGTTTATTAGACTTTGCAAGCTAAAAAAAACCTGACTGAAGGATATTTAACAAATGGACAAAACAGACGCTCACCTGAAGTCCGGCCCTTTGTGAGCGAGACACTGCTTTTGCCTTGGCCTTGCCACTGTCTTTACCTGCCTTTCCTCCTGCCTACAACACAACACAGACTCTGACCCAATGCACACAAACATATTCAAGCATTTCAGTGCACGAAGCACTTAATTAGCATTATATTATGAGCAGACAATTATGGTCATTTGTATCAGCATCAGCATATTAGCTGTGCAAAGACATTTAAAGTATACTGAAAAATATGACCGCATTTTAAATATAAAAAATATGCAATCTTTCTATAAAGTAAATAAAAATATGTATCGATATAATTCACATAAAGATTAAATATTGCATAAAAAAATATCTAATTTGCAACTGCAAAAAACCCCACTAATATTTATGTAGAATATGCAACTATTTCCCATATGCAAAAAATATATAGACAAACATCACATAAAATTGTGTAAAATAATATGTAACAATATTTGTAGAATATATGTAACATTTTTCCATATTATGTAACAATATAACTGGCATATACAAATTAAATATTACATAAAAATATCTATACTCATAGAATATATTTAACATTTTTATTCAATTACATACTTAATGTTTAATTTACTATGTAATTTAATTTTGATACGTATTAATATAATTACAAAACATATGGCATCGCATTTTTATGTAAAAAAAATGTAATATCTTGTGATTTCGCGAAATTTCAAACTATTGCATCATTTATACAGAATATTTACAGCAAAACACTTTTTACGTGTAAAAAAAAAAACACGTAACTGTGTTAGCGGTGAGCGTGTCAACTGTCGTGCAAATCATCAATACATTTATTATTAGTGCGTTACTCATATGCAAATAATTGCGTGTATATTTAAGCTCCACGACAAAAAAAATGCAGGTTTGGAGAAAATACTCCACTTCTCTTGGCAATCTGCACCGTTCCCCGCCCAGAGGGTATGATTAAAGCATCCATTAGGAACAGGATCCTGCTCAAATGAATTAAAGTTTAGCTAAAAACTTGCAGCAATGCCATCCGCCGCTTCGAGTCGCTTAAAGCAGCGAAATCTCCCGCTCATATGACCGCCACGCTTACCTCACGACATACTCTATCCCTGTTTCTGACATTAACCTGCACAAACTACACAAACAGAACGCAATTCTCAGGAGTCGGTGGTTTCTGAAGAGCTGTACAGTGAATAAAGTTGATATGAACTGCTCCGCTCCGCACTGCCGCTGATGGCTAGAGCTTAGCTTAGCTTTCCTGCTCGGAGAAATCTCACAACAACTGCGACGTATATCAACAAAACCCTTCAAATAAATACGATAGGTGGCTAATCGTTTAAATTAGCACAACATACGTCGAGATTAAATACATAGCAACTACAAAAAAAAGGCTATTAGCAGCACGAGCTAGCAGAGTTAGCGCGAAGCTAGCGCAGAATCTCTAGAAAGACGACAAATACGCACTAAAACAAAAGAAGAGGCATTTACAGTTATAGAAAACAGATTTACGATCCAATACCGAAGAATTACATACCATTTCAGCGAAGTATTACTTTGAATGGGATCCGGAAAGGTCTGTAAAATCTATTTCGCCCCTTGACTCGGAGGAACAATAAACCGCGTTCAACTGAGAACGCTTGAGGCTAACCGAGCGCTGGAATCAGCCAATCAGAACGCCTGTTGTTGATTCGAATTTCAGGAAGGCCAATGAGATTTCAGCATGGATCTGCTGCTACCATCCCCCATCGATGAATGACGTTTGTACGGATAACACAGGGGGCGGGACTTGGCTGAAATTTTACCGAAAACATTTAACCTCTATTTAAAAGTCATAAATGACCTGACAAACATTACTAGAACTCGCGATTTTATGTAAATGACTTAGTGAGCTGAATAATAAAAACTTTTTCTAATCTCACTATTGTAATTATGTCACACGAGGCGAAATCAAGTGTGAAATCATAATAAATTGGAGATTACTTTAAATTATTATTTCATATATTAAAATTTTAAAACGAGACTTCGACTTTCATAAACATAGGGAGGGAGTTTTTAACATGTTCGTTTACACAGCTTGCTGAATGTCTAGTATTAATATGTATAAACGTTTCTGTATTTGTATAGCCTTTTCACAATTATCTTTTCGGTCTCTGAAGACTTTTTAATTTTTTTAGTTATTTTTACATTTATTTTCCTATTTTTTGTTTATTTATATATACATATGTGTATTTTATTCACAGCTTATTTTGTATTATCTGTGTGTTGTTGTTGTTGTCTCTGTTTACTGGAAGCTTGTGACATTAAAACAAATTCCTTGTATGCACAAACACACTTGGCAATAAAGCTCTTTCTGACTTCTGACTTATTTATTATTATGAAAAAAAAAATAATAAATTCTGACGCAAATCATTTTCTGGTTTTGTGTATTTATTTGTACATTAACGTGAAAACCTTTTCTTTTAACCTTCATCCTTCGCATTTTGTAACAAATCTTTTCAAAATGACCTAAAATGATACTTTTCTCTCTTTTTTTGTCCAGAAAGCTTATATTGATCCATCTTTATGATTTTTTTCTTCATATTTATGTAGGTTTTTATGATTTTTTTTTTTGGTGATTTTTATTCTATTTTTTTTATTTACTTCGTTTAAAAAATTTTTTTTATAAAAATGTTTTTCGACATTGCATTCATTCCAATGGCGGGTCAAATTGAACCATTGGAACCATTTTTGTTTGTTTGTTTGTTTGTGTGTGTGTGTGTGTG